CCCCCGTAACGTAACGTAACTCCCACCCCCGTAACGTAACGTAACTCCTACCCCCGTAACGTAACGTAACTCCTACCCCCGTAACGTAACGTAACTCCTACCCCCGTAATGTGACGTAACTCCTACCCTCGTAACGTAACGTAACTCCTACCCCCGTAACGTAACGTAACTCCTACCCCCGTAATGTGACGTAACTCCTACCCCCGTAACGTAACGTAACTCCTACCCCCGTAACGTAACGCAACTTCCATCACCGTGACGTAACGAAACTCCCATCGCCGTAACGTAACGTAACTCCTACCCCCGTAACGTAACGTAACTCACATCCCCGTAACGTAACGTAACTTCTACCCCCGTAACGTAACGTAACTCCCACTCAGGCGCCGCGGAACGATTTTTGAAGTGGGGGTGCTCAATTTGTTACGCTCCACAATGGCCGATCCAGGATTTCAATGGGGTGGTACGAAACAAGCGGGGGGTATATGGGGGTTCTCCCCCAGAACATTTTGAAAATGTAGATCGCAGGAGATATTCAGGCGGTATTTGAGGCACTTTTGAGTACATGTAGAGCCTTCATTCTGACTACGACAATTCTCTTTTTAGTAGAACAATTCTTGCGATTGCAGCACGGCATTGATTGATGTACAGGGGTGGTGGGCATTGTTTAGGTCGCGTTCATGATTGAATATGTAGGGGTGACCACCGCTGGGATGAGGGCGACAGCAAAACTCTTTCTTGGAAAAAAGCTGCAAAAGGGTTGTAACCTGCTTTGCCACTCCATTACATAATTGAACCCATGGTGCCGTTGACGTGGCCGTGGCCCTCAGGTGCCATTTTGTACAGCCCCGCGACTATTATACTTGGCAATAATTAATTGGTAGGCTATATGTGTAAAAATATTGTTGCCGTGCACGTGAAGCGCACGCAGGGGGTGGGCGCGCGCGAAGCTCTAGCACTAATTAAAACGGGAGACGAGTAATAATCAGTGCTTTCCTCACTCTCTCTCTTTCATTTAATTTCATGTGGCGTCAAAAAAGTGGGGGTGCTCGAGCCCCCTTAGCCCCCCCCCCCGCGGGCCCTGATCTCTCTCTCTCTCTCTCTCCCCAGCTAACACAAAAACGTTGTCCCCGTATCGTAACGTATCGTATCGTAACGTACCGTAAGGTAACGTAACGTTACGTAACGGAACGGAGCTCTCACTGTCCCCGTATCGTATCGTATCGTATCGTAACGTACCGTAAGGTAACGTAACGTTACGTAACGGAACGGAGCTCTCACTGTCCCCGTATCGTATCGTATCGTATCGTAACGTACCGTAAGGTAACGTAACGTTACGTAACGGAACGGAGCTCTCACTGTCCCCGTATCGTATCGTATCGTATCGTAACGTACCGTAAGGTAACGTAACGTTACGTAACGGA